TGTATCCCTCCTGTAGAGGGACAGGCCCGACGGGAGGCTGCGCGGGTCGAGGCCTCCAGACGACTCTCCAGCCTCGGCGTGCTTCCCAGCAGCTGCGCCTCGCCGAGAGTCCTCTGGGGGCTGCCGGAGTCCCCCCGAATCGGGGGCCCCGAACGACCAGCTCCCCCTCGCGAGTACACCCTGCGAGATGCTTAAGAAATCATGGGTTAAGAAATTCATAGTCTCAGAATTTGAATAACAACCTCCAGCTTCTACTAAAAAAATAGGTTTTCCATTGAAACAATAAGAATAATCAAGACTCTGGCCGAAACCTTACGTGTTCTTAAGCATCGCCTAGGGTGTACCGCAGCGTGCCTCTGTACACCGCAATAGCCTGCGAGCGCCACAAGACGTCCGCGGTCGCCACCGGACGACCGCGGTGACGTCATCGCGAGGGGGTGGGGGGGGGGGGGGCGGTCGCGCCCGTGATCGCCGGGAGGTTTCCGAACGGGCTCCAGAGGTACGGATGCACCGAAAGCGGAGGAGGAAAAGGCGAAACAGGAGGAGGAGGAAGCACAGGAGGAGGAAGATGAGGAAGGGGGAAACGGGGAGGAGCCGACAAACGCGCGACCCAAATCAGCGCAGTGCGTGAAACTGCACATGGCGAACATAAGGTTGGAAGCGCCCAAGGCCGAAAGAAGCCCCTCTGGGCCGGGCGGAACCACCCGCAAGCCCCAGGAAGAAGCACTGTGGAATGCTGGTGGGCACGGAGAGGTCGCCCCTGACGTCGTATAGTATGGCGCCCCGCAGAATCTGGCCAGCCGCCAGAATCGCTGGCATGCTGGAGCGCTCCCTGCAAGTTGAAGTGGTCCCTTGGTGCCTTCATGCGGGGCCTGGTTAATAACATTTGAAACGCAGCTTCCATAGGGGCGCTTGGGGAGGGAACCCAAACGATTGACCGACAGCACGGTGCGCTGCACAAGTACTGACCGCGAGCTAGCGCCACCGTGGAGCAGCCAGGGATGCTGCGAAACAACATGCAGAAACATCAGCCCCAGGGGGGACCCACTACGCACGCGGAGCCTCGCTCACTCATGCAGAACGGGGCACCGAAGATAGTGTTCAATGCTGTCCTTGCCAGTGCCAGCGCAACCAAGACGGCACCTGTGCGAGTCATCGCGGATGCCTCGCTTGCGACGGTCCGTAGTCCAGCGATTGAAAAAAAAACAAAAAAAAACATGCTGGTCACAGCCGAGCCGACGCGTGATGTCACTAAATTGCGCATTCGCTTAGGGTTGATGTGCGTCCGGCGCGCGACGCGCCAGCGAATGCCTGGTGAACTTCGTCGTTCCTAACGCTGGACAAGCCTGTTCCGCGTTGGAAAACGAACGTCGAGAGCATCTCTGTGACCAGCCAGCGCTGTAGGCCCTGTTGGAGCTTGTCTTCCGACCTGGGGGAGAAGGGGCCACTGGGACCTAAGTGACTGCCTCCCGGGCTCGTAGGTTCGTAAGGCCGACGTTCTGCAACCGCATCGGCGGTGCGTGAAATTGTAAGGATGTGCTTCTGGTACCACCCGTGCCAGCAAACGAACCTGATTAGGCAAAAAGTCTGTGTGAACGGCGATCCCCCATTGACGTTTGAACCGTTCCCAGTCGATACCACCCTCAGACACGTTCGTGCCGTCCGAAACACTGCCACCCGACAGGGGAGTTCCAAAGGGCGAAAGGGGGCTGAAAAGGCCCAGCTCTGTCCCATGTTGGAGACCACGTGCCTGGCATCATCACCAGGCCCTCGCGCAATGCTCGGGCGTTGGTAGAGCTGGGTTTAGTGGAACCTGGTTTAGTGATCTGTACCGGGGGCGCCCCCCCCGTCCCATTTCCACTAACCGGAACTGCCGTCGCCCGAAAAAGCACCAACTACGGCAAACCTGGTTTAGTGAATCTGGCCAATTGAGGGGCCCGAAGGGCCCCAGGGCCCTACCACTAACCGGGTCCCCTTACCCGGGATCCTGGTTATACCCGAAATGCGCCTGACTGCGAGCGACTCTAATTCGATTGTTTCGGCCGGTGGCTGCGCCAACTGGGCAATGCGCGCATTGCACAATCGGACTTGATTGGAGAGGACACGCGAAAGGACACAAGACCCTTCTGGGGGCCACGTTGCCACAGAAATGCAGGAGGCATGGGTCGCAAGATACAAGACACGAGGGCACCCTTGATCTGGCAGGGTCGACCTACAAATCCGGGCCGCCTGTCCGTCGCGGTCGATCACGTGAGCCCCAGTTCGGACCAAGGCTTATCGCCGAGTCGGTGCGGGAATTTCCGCCGCGGACCCTTTCAAGCTGTCTGACCGGTGCCTGGCCCGGTGATGAAGCCCACATGTTTCGCGTGTCACGCGATGCGCGGGCTCGATGCGTCCTCCTGCGCCCTCCTCTTGGCCGCTGACGGGAGCTCCCACAATTTTCGAGCAATCAAATTCGAGAAGCGATGGCATCCCCAAAACGAGACGAGGCCCTTCCGCTTGCCACGGAGACAGGACCACGGCGGTGTCATCGGCGAAGGTCCTGGGCAAACTGTTGGGGATAACCAGACGTTTGGATGACCCGCAAGAGGCTGTCGCTGGAACGTGCAAGCAGCAATGGTGAACGAGGACATCCCTTGCGGATACCCTGCTCCAGGGAACTCATGCCGAACTTCTGGACATTCCACAGGGTCACAGCTCTTGCGCATGCGCGAGGCCTGGACCTCTCGCATCGCGCTGGAAGGCAGTCCCGCCGCCTGTAATGGCACAATCAAGAATTATCTCGAAAATGAAGGAACGGCCCCGGAGAAGTCGAAGAACACAGTTACGGGGTCGTCGAACTTCAGCGAATAACGTTGCGGAACGTCCTCAATATCGACGATGGTCCTGAGCATGCTCCTGCCGGTAATGAAGCTCCTCTGAATGCCTGTGATCAGAAGCGAGATGAGGGGTTCCCAGCGCCACTGAAAAGCTGCAACGACGATGCCATCGCCCCCAATCGTCACGGAAAAAATATCAATTCAATCGTTCCAGGACGCGTGAATTGGACGGTCAGACCAGGAGTCAGTCTTCCAGCCGTCTCGACACCAAGACTGCCTAGCCGTCTCCATTCCGAGAGCGGGATCCCATCAGGACCAGAGCAGCCGTCGCCAGAGAGGCGGAAGGCCCGCTCGACGCCGCGAAGCCGCGATCGCCATGGGGCTGCCAGGGAGTCTTCGTTGTCTTGGCCCTGGTCGCTCGGGCCAAGTCGAGCCAGTGCTGCCATCGAGACTCGTGCTGCTCCGCGGGGCTGACGACCTCTCCCCAATGTGCTCCCAGACATTGGGCAACATGAGACAGGCTCCGTCGCTGGCGTCCCGTGTCCTGCTCCTCGCAGGAGAGCTCAACATCGAATAACAGGTCGGATCGGCGGTCGACATGAATCGGAACGACGGGGATCGGCAACCGAGTCGGGAACAGTCGAATCGGCAGACCCCGGCAGGTCAGTAGGCCTCCAATGAGAAATCGGAGCCCAAATCGGAATCCGAAGTCGAATCGAATTGGAATCGGAGGCCACCAAAATCGAATCGAATCGAAATGAGCCCTGTCCTTGGTCCTCCATGGCCTTGATGCCCGAAGATGACCCCGCGCCATGTGCTGATTCAAAGTCTTCCCGCAAATCCGACGCGAACTCGTTTCCGGTCAACGCAATTGCTTTGTCCTGTAGTCGCCCAAGAGGCCCCTGGGAGCGCTCCGAAGAGACCCCAGGAAGCATCACTGAGGACTCTGACCCACAATCCAGGCCCCGTTGCAGAATGGGCTGAAGGCCACTAGATACATAGGGACGATGACGGTGACAGCGCTGGTGATGGCGGAGAAGAGCAAAGACGACAACGATCGACAACAGTGGCGAGGCATAGGAGGACTCCTGGGCGAAGCCCTGAATCTCAAGCCAATCGGGCAACGTCGGGCAGCATCTAGGGAGAACGAGGACTGAGACGAGGGAAGGAAGAACACAACATCGGATAAAACTATTGCCATAGAGCCAGGCTGGCCTAGAGAGTCGGACTGTCACAAGAAGAACACCACATGCCCCCCTGGCCTCAAACCTCGAGCCTGGGCCGACGTGGGATGTATTGTGCTCGGTGGCTCCTGGACATGTCCAGGGGTGCGCCCTGGCTAGAAAAACACACCCTGGAGCTATGTTGCCCCCAGCGTGCTTCAGGACCACACGCCAGAAAGAAGTGCAACCCCCCAGAAAAGTGCCGACTTGCGGCAGCTCGGCGCTGCACCTCGCCGGCAGAGCGGCGCCAACCCCCCAAGGGCAGCGGACTGGCAGGCTCCCGGGCAAGGCGGCCTCTCTCGGGCCCCCCGCAGCGAGGACTGGCTCGACTGGGCAGGCGAGCCCCGGACTCGCATCGACAGGTCGGAGCGGCGATCGATGCGACCAGGGCGAGGCGACGAGAATGCGCTCGGCGAGGCGCAGTCGCTGGAGAGCATCCCGGGAAAGCCGAGAAGACCGATCGGTGTGAATCGGATCGGCTGAAATCGGCAGGCCAAGTCGAGAGACGTCGGATCGGCGGACATCGGCAAGGCAGCCGGCCTCCACGTAGAACTCGGAGCCCAAACCGGGATCCGAAGTCGAACCAAATCGGAATCGGAAGCCATCGAAGTCGAAGTCGAGTCGAATCGGAGGAGTCGAAGTGAGCCCTGGCTGGGGGTCCGTGCGCTCCCCCCTGACGCTGCCCCCTGGTCTCCGGGCAACACCTCGGCGCCCGGGCGGCCGTCCAGGACGAGCCGAGGACCCCCCCAGGAACGCGCGCGGCGAGGCGCAGCCGCTGGAGAGCATCCCGAGGCTGGGACACCAACCGAGAACCGAGTGGGAAGGCCGAGAAGACCGATCGCTGCCCCGAATTTCCCACCACCACTAACATAGGTAGGACGGAGGAGAGAGACGGATGGGGAGGTCATCCTCCTCCTCTCCTCCCGTTTCACCAGTTTCACCGAAAATGCCAAGGATCCGAAATGCCAGAGGCGGCGCAGAACCTGGGCAGAAAAGAAAAAGAAAGAGGAACAAAGAAACGAGACAAGCGCGCTGCAGCCCCCCCCCCCCGCCCAGGCCTCCGCCGAAGGGACCCGAAGTCCTCCTTCGGTGGAGGCCCACGCTGAGAAGCCAACGTCCTGTCAAGCTTCAGCGAGAACACTGGCCTGACTCGAAGCCACGTCAGCTCCAGCGGGCGCGGGGACGCAGCCCTGCGCTGCCCCTAGCTCTGTCCGGCATCCTCCTCCTCCTCCTCCCCCTCCTCTCTCCCCTACCTCCTTCTCCTCCTCCCCCTTCCTCCTTCTCCTCCTCCCCCTCCTCCCCCTCCTCCATCCTCTACATCATGAGAAAACCCCTCCCGGCGCTCCCTGGGCCGCTGGGCTGGTACGGCTGGATCACGGGGCCTCCTGGCGCGCCCCCCGCCGCTGTGCGCACATTGGCCGCGCGCCTGCGTCGTCGTCGTCGTCGTCGTCGTCGTCGTCGTCGTCGTCGTCGTCCTCGTCGTCGTCGTCATCGTCGTCGCCCTTGTCGTCCTCATCGTCGTCTGGGGGGCCCCCACCAGGCCCCCCCCCGAGGCCGTCGAGCAGCGGCCCGGGCGGAACCGCTGTGGCGGCGGTCGGGTCGTCGTCGTCGTCGTCGTCGTCCTCCTCCTCCTCCTCCTCCTCCTCACTGGCGGCGGTCGGGTCGTCGTCGTCGTCGTCCTCCTCCTCCTCCTCCTCCTCCTCACTGTCGGCGGTCGGGGCGTCCTCCTCCTCCTCCTCCTCCTCCTCCTCCTCATTGGCGGCGGTCGGGTCGTCCAGCGGCCCCACGCGGGAAGACGCAGAGTCTACAGGCCTGGGGCCTTCAGGGCAGCCGCAGCGACGAGACGCCTCCGGGAGGCCCGAGCAGGGCGACCAACGCGGGCGGGGGCCGCTGCTCTCCACGGGCGCTCCCCCGACGGTCCTCCTCTGTCCGCCTCCCTCCCTCCGCCCTTCCTCCCTCCATCAGTCCTCCTCCTCCCTCCCTCCTCCTTCCCTCCCTTCCTCCCTCCTCCCTTCCTCCCTTCCTCCTTTCCCCCTCCTCCCTCTCTTCCTCCCGCCCTTCCTCCTTCCTCCCTCCTCTCTCCTCCTCCCTCCCTCCTTCCTCTTCCACCCTCCATCAATCCCACCGGCGGAGGTGGCTTGAGGAGATCGTTATTACAACCTCCTCATTTCCTTAAGGAAGAGGTCTATCTCTCCCTGCCCCCTACCGTACCCCCTCTCCCTGGGTATGGGGTGGGTGTTCCGCGAGGGGCTAGAGTGTCCAAGATGATCCCAAGAAGGCACAGTTGGCCCAAGACGGCCTCGACCATCGCACAAGATATCCCACCATGGTTCAAAAGCGTTTCGAACATGCATCCAAGACACTCCAAGACCGCGGCCGCAGAGCCTCCATAGGACCCCCCCGAGATGCCAAATCCTTCCAAACCAATGTGGGCCCCCGCTCGAACGGGAGCCTCCCCCAGGGTTCGACAACGCGCGCCCATACCCATAGCCAGTCTTCCTCCCTCCGAGCCCCCTGTGGTTCGCAAGATGGCTCCAGCGTGGCTCGCGAGAGCACCAAGAGGGGCCCAAGACGATGCCGAGAGCGTACCGAACGCGCCCCAGGACGGAGCCAAGTGACAACTTCGAGGGCAACGACGGGGGGGGGCTGACGTGCGCGCCGCCCCCCTCGTTGCTTTGATCGCCTCCGCGAGAGCCCCGAGAGGGCCCCCAGGGCCTCGCACGACCTGCGGAGCAGCAGGACGGCAGTGCCTTTGGCTGCGGAGAGGCGAAAGGCAGAGGGAGAAGGCCGTCGCGCCGCGGCGCGAGGCGCAGACGACAGGCGCCGGCAGGTCCAGGCACGAAGCGGCCGCAAGCCTGACATCGCTCGGGCGTCCCTTTCTCGGAAGATGGGGCATGCACGCCACCAGTGGCGGGCCGTTTTTCTATCTCGGGACTTCTGGAGGGTCGAGGACGACGCAGGGGTGGTGTGGTGTATACTCTTTCCCCCCGTGTCCCGAGGAAACAACGAAACATGTACACACCAAGGTCCCGCATACACCACCAATGGCGGGCTGTTTTTTCTATGTCCGGACGCCTTGAGGGTCGAGGACGACGCTGGGGTGGTGTGGTGTATATTTGCTTCCCCAGTGCTCGGAGGAAACCACCAAAAAATACACACCAGGGTCCCGTCTATACCAGGATCCGCTCTCCAGTGACAATTCCAATGGAGGGCGGGAACAAGCGTCGGTGTACAGAGTTCGATTCCCTACGTTCCCTGTGCAGATTTCGATGTCGTGTATTTTTTCCACGGTCCACGATGCTTCTCGCCGGAAGAAACAAACACATGCCCGAGCGATGCCGAGCAGGATGCCGACGCACGGGCAGGCGGCCGCTGGAGGTCGCACCGTACTCCGTCGGTGCCCGAAGGAAGCAGCCGCGGCCCTGCGACGCCTTCGGCGCAGGCCCCCCTCGCGAAGCGGAGGCGAAAGGAGGAAGGAAACACGACCCGAGCCGCCTCGACAAGCGGTGGCCCGTGCAAGCAGATCGCTCACACCACCAAGACGTGACGATCGAGCAGCACACACCCATACCCTGAGGAGGGCCCGAGGAAGGGAGGCTTGCTGTGGGCATGGGTATGGACATGTCGGACCCCAAGAGCAGGCTCCCGTTCGAGCGCAGACCCCCATCCGACAACACGCACCCATAGCCTCCTCCGTCCCCCTTCTGATTATGTGTGCGCTGTTCGTCCGTCAAAGACCACCACCACCGCCCGGAGCCGCGTGCCGTCGCCAGCAGGGCCCTCAATCGCCTGGGGGCCGCCTGGGGGGGTGCCGCCAGTGGGGGGCGGGAGAGCGTCGTCGCCGTCGTGGTCGTCGGTGTGATTGTTTGGCAAGAGAGCCCAGAATCGAATCGACAAGTCGAATCGGCAATCGAAGTAAATGGAATCGGCGGAATTCAGCAGCCAAATCGGCAGAACGTGAATCGCTCAAAACAGCAGGCTAGTAAGCCTCCAATTAAACATCGGAACCCAAATCGGAGTCCCAAATCGAATCGAGTCGGAATCGGAGGCCATCGAAATCGAATCGACTCGGAGGAGTCGAAACGAGCCCTGTTTGGACAGCGTGGTGGGGATACTTTTTTGGTCAGCGGCGCCGAGACGACTGTCAGGAGGCAGAGGCGACGTCCGGGCCACGGGCGAGGCTAATTTGCTAGACAGAGCGCTGCCGGCCCGAGTAGGCGGACAAACTGCTAGCACGGGCGCGCGCACTGAACAAAATGACCAAAATTCGAGAGGCCAACGCAAGAAGGCGCAGTAACCCTTACCACAGTGGGCAGGTCGCTGTGCCCGGTGAAAATGGGAAGGCCCCGAAATGAGTCGCCGATGTGGCGCCAGACTTCAACGGTCGACCAGCGCAAGCCAGCCGGCTGAGCGGTCGAGAAGAGTATACAGCGCGCGCCAGCTGAAAAGGGTCCGAAAGCTGTACAGGCGTTGAAGGCTGTACCAGTCAGCGCCCAGGCCAGTCTCGGTCCGCATCACAGTGCCGGGGGGGGAGCCGTGCGACTGTGATCCCAACAGCGCGCGTCTGCACGGTGCGGCCACAGGGAGTGAGGGAGCCCGCTGGCGTGGTGAGCATCGCCGACGGAGAAGAAGAGAAGGGGGGGGGGCTGCACGACTGGTGGTGGTGCCGACTGCGTTGCCTTCAAGCGAGGCGCCAGGGGGGGCTGCACTGCAGTAGGCGCTGGGACCGGGAGCCAGCCACTCCCGGACCGCCGCATGGCACTTCCCCCAGGCCACTGCGCCAACACACATACACACACACACACCACGAGCCCCTCCGAGGCCGTAGCAGCCGTCGCTGAAGGTGATGAGCTGGACCACGAGCAGCGCGGAAACCGGCAGGCCCAGGGAGGGGGGGGGCAGCCACACCGACGCAAGCGGGGCGTCCGGCGGGCCCCGGGGCCAAGGGCGGGGGGTGCACCCGCCGGGCCCGGGGGGGGAGAGGCGAGGGGACGCAACGAGGGGGGCGGCCCCCTCGTTCCGCCTCCTCCTCCTCCTCCTCCTCCTCTTCCTCCTCCTCCTCCTTCTCCTCCCCCCTCCTCCTCCCCCATCTCGCCCATCCTCTTGCTCGTCCTACAATTACTCAATGTGAATACTACTCCCCCTCTGGCACCGTGGGCCAGGGGCCGTGGTCCAGCCTCTTGGGTCGCCCCGGGGGTCGCAGCTGATCGCCGCTGGAACTTGCATTAGACACCTCGGGGGTCGCAGCTGATCGCCGCTAGGATCTCTGTTACTCTTCTTGGGGGTCTCCTCCTCCTCCTCCTCCTCCTCCTCCTCGCAGCTGATCGCCGCTGTGGTCTCTATTGATGGTTGTGTGACCGAGTGTAGGCCCACCAGGGCCGCAACAATCGCAACAGATGTAAGCCTGCAGAAAAGGTGCGTTCCTGAAGGTGGGTCCTCGGGGGTCGCAGCTGATCGCCGTGAGCTGATTCGGGGAGCGTGAAAAATTAGGTCGCACCTGATTCAACTGCTTGCGGCGCTCCCTCCCCCTCTCCTCCTCCCTGCCGCTGCCGCTTCGTCCCCCCATTCCTGCCCCTCCTTCCCTCTCCCCTGCCCCTCTGCCCCTCCTGCCCTCCTCCCCTCTCCTGCCCCTCTGCCCCTCCTACCTTCCCCTGCCCCTCTTCCCCGCTTCCCCTCCTCCCCTCTTCCTGCCCCTCTTTCCTTTTCCCTGCCCCCTCTCCCGCCTTCCCCTGCCCCTCTCCCCCTCATCCCCCCCATCCCTCCTCGTGCCCCTCCCTCGTGTTCCACCTCCTCCTCCCCGCGCCTGCCACTCCCTCCCCTCGGGTCGGACGAATGGGGGGGGTGATACGTACAGTCGAACGTGATAGATGCAGGGGCCTCGGTAGATGCAGGGGCCTCGGAAGGCCATGCCGACACGTCTCGAGCGGGGCGCGGTCAACGAAATTGGCCAAGGATGGGCCGAAGGGAAAGGATGCAAAGGAAACCTCAGGCAAGAAATTCATCGTGCTTCCTACCAGCGTCGACGGTGGGATCTGTTTCCCAGCGCCTGCCGTCGCTGGCGGCGCCAGCGTGTTAATGAAGGGGCCCTGGGACACACAAATGAATACACACAAATAATATGATTTCCGTAAAGTTTCCCATAGTTTCTGTGTTTTTGTAGTTTCCCATCTGTTCGGGGGAATCGACGAATAATGGTGTCTGTATGTTTTTGTTTCCCTCCTGAGTTAAGGAAGGTGCCTGGCGTCGGGCCGAAACTGGCATGCAGCAGATTTCGTACACCCCATTCTTTGCCTGACCCGGTCCTCCCCCTTCTCCTCCACGCCTCCCTGCCCCTCCCCCCCCCTCCACCCCTGAGCTTGCCATCGCTCGGACGTCCATTTCCCGTGCACGTGTCGGTTTTGTGCGCATGTCTTTGGGCACGATGATCCAGGACGGAACAAATCACAAGTCCGAGCCATGCCGAGTGAGAGGGGGGGGGCCGCTCCCGGCGAGATCTGCATGCCAGGCTGGTAGGAGGGCGCGATCGTCGTGGCCGCCGAGCGCGGCGCCTGGTGGTGGGTGGGGCAACGTCCCCCCCCCGTATCTCAAGATGGCGTTCTCGCTTCTGCTCAGCCTCACTCGCTCACCTCCTTCCTCCCACTCCTCCGCATCCCCGGCTCTTCACTCATATTCATTCACACTCAGACTCACTCGCACTCAGACTCACCCACACTGAGACTCACTCACACTCAGACTCACTACTACTCAGACTCACTCATACTCAGACTCACTATCACTCAGATTCACTCACACTCAAATTCCCACATACCCAGACTCACTCATCGAGCAGGCAACAACGCTCCAAAATGGGAGCCGCCAAGGATGGTGTTGCTCGCCAGTTCGCAGTCTGATTGTGCCGTGTCTCAGGCGGCTTGCCTATTTGGCTGCTTGGATCTCGCCGTTTCCAAAGCATGCTGCCGTGAGGACTTCTCGAGCGAGGCGCCGGCTTCCGCCCCCGCAGGAGGCGTCGCGAAGGGGTAGGACACTGGACCGTCCGCGGCCAGCTTCTGTGGGGATGCTTCGCACGCTTCGCTTGCTTCGGCGCCCCTCGGTTCCGCTCCTTTCAGGGCAGGCTGTGAGAATGCCTCGCGCGAGGCGTTGGCCCAGATGGTGCGCATGCCTCAGACGCTGCGCCTGTGTCGGCGCCCCGGGCTCCGCCGTGTCGGCGGCACGCTGCGAGGATGTCTGCAACGAGGCGCGGGCTCCAACACCCGTCGGGGGAGCCGCCACCGCCAGGGGGAGTTGCTCTCCCCTGGGGATACCTCGGGCGGCCTGCCTCGTCGGCGGCTTGCACTTGCCTGCTTTTTGAGGGCGGCCGACTGCGAGGATGGCTCGAGCGGGGGGCTGTTTTTCGGGGATGGACAGACCTCCCTTTAGTAAAACGTGGTTTAGTGAAAACGACCTGAGGCCCAAACCTGGCGGGCGCAAGCCTGGAAAATAACGGCCACGGCGCCCTCTCGAGAACGGAAAACGGACAATTCACTAATCGACGTGTCACTGTTGGGGGTTCTGTCCACCCCCGACGGAGGGAAGCCGCCAGGGGATGGAACACACCGCGTCGCTCGCGCCGACTGCACGGGGGATGTCTCGAGCATCTGCCTGCCTTGTTGCCTCCGGACCCTCTGCTCTCCAGCCACTCGCCCGCGGCCAGGCCGCCAGGATCTCTCCGGCGGTGCTCCCGCCTCGGCGCCTCGGGCTGCTCTGCTCTCCGCGCAGATTGGAAGGATGCCCCGGGCGAAGCGCCGGCGTCGGCACCCCACAGGGGAGTCGCCAGGAGGGTCCATATCCCAAGACTGTATTATTGTTATCATTGGGACGCCTCGACCTCAATCACTCACCTACTTTTTCCCCCTCCTCATCCCCTCGCTCCTCACTCAGGCTCGCACGCGCTCAGACTCTTTCGCACTCGGACTCGCCGCGCTGCAGGAGGAAGGGAACATGAAGGGAATACGTCGGGGAGGGTGGTGAACAAGAGGGAGGGGCCTGCTCAGCCCGTTTGTCTCAGACGCATTGTCGTCGTCGTCGTCTGCGACCCTGATCGTAGCCGCCGCCGTCGCCGCAGCCGCGCTGCACACGGGCGCCCAAGGGGCATGTAGCCGCCAGGAGGGAAAGACCTTCCCCCGTGGGCAGCCAGATCCGGCAAGGGGCTTCGGGCGGTTTGCCCGTTTCGTGGTTCGGACACCTCTGCTCTCATACCATACCGTCTCGAGCGACGCCAACGAGGATGCAGGCTTGGGTGCCCCCGTCCCCTTTATTTTCGAGGGGGCGGGGCAGAGGAAACGCAGGCTTGAGCACCCCCGCCCCCTCTCCTTTTTCAGCCCCAACAACACCCCGATGTGACGCGCATTGGGCATCCCGCGGGTGGGCGCCAGGGATCGCGGCCACCACAAGCTCAGATTCGAATCCCCACAGACGCTACATGTCGGGGATCTCCGCGTCGAGTCATTGCTGGGAAGAGGCACTCGCGGCAGACAGATGAAAGGACGCGGGAAGATGACGTGTGTGTGTGTGTGTGTGTGTGTGTGTGTGTGTGTGTGTGTGTGTGTGTGTGTGTGTGTGCGGGGCTGCGGCGCGACAGAGCGCGACAGAAAGAAGGGGGGGCAGACAGTGGGCGGGCGAGGGCGGGGGGGAGACGGAACGCCACAAGGGAGGGCGGGGCACTGGGTGCGGCGCGGGGAAAAACGAGGGGGCTGAGGGCTAAGGAGCGAAAGCAAGCAACGAGGATGGGGGGGGGGGCGAGCAACGCGGTGGGAATCAGAAGTGAAAGAGGAAGAGAGGCCGAGAGGGAGAGAGAGAGAGAGGGGGGGAAAACAGAGAGAGCGAGAGGGATAGAGAGAGAGAGAAACAACAAAAAGGAGAGTGAAAGCGAGACGGTCATAGGGAGAGAGAGAGAGAGATAGAGAGAGAGAGAGAGAGAGCATGAGCATGAGTATGAGAGGGAGAGGGACAGAAAGAGATAGAGAGAGGTACCACTATATATATGTGTACAGAGGCTAACCTAAGAAAAGGGGATACGACTGAGTGAGAGGGAGAAGGGAAGAGAGGGAAAACGCGAACCATGTATATACATATACATTTATATGTAGAGAGAGAGAGAGAGAGAGAGCGCGAGGGAGAGAGAGAGATAGACAAAAAAAATGAGAGAGAGAGAGAGAAAAAAAAAAGCGAGAGAGAGATATATAGAACATATAAAAAGAAAGGGAGGGGGCACACGAACCCAATATATAGAAAGAGAGAAGGAGAGGGAGAGAGAGAGAGAGAGAGAAAAAAAAACAAGTTATATACATAGAGAGAGGGAGAGAAGGAGAGAGAGAGAGAGAGAGAACGAGAGAGATATAACAAGCAAAAACACAATGAGAGAGAGAGAGAGATACCACACCCCAAAGAAGCAATGACACACACGCATACATATATATATATAGAGAGAGAGAGAGAGAGAAAAAAAAACGCATACCTATCCGACCACACTGCGTGTGATAAAGGAGGTTGGTTGGGGGGGAGCAGTGGGCAAAAGTGGTGATTGTTGTTCTGACGATACCTGTGGGGCGGATTCTAGTGAGTAGTGCGATTGTGCACGTGAGCGTGATGTGATGTGGCGATGTTGGCGAAGCGCACTCGGCATTGTCGTGAAGCGCTGTCCCCGCGTGCTCTTATCAATCGCGCGAACCTCACCTCAGCGCTAGTCGACGTGGTGTCTTTCAATTCGCACGGCATGACGATGTGCCTTTTCGACTTGCATGTGGATTTGCATATCAATGTGCATTTCGATCTCCTTCTTCGGATTGCATGTCGGCGTGCATTGGAAAGCTCGCCGCGGCGCCCACGGCGCCTTACGATGTGCATTTAGATGCGCAAATGTGCCACCTCCCCTTCCCTCCCCCCTGCGACCCCCCCCTCTCTCTCCCTTCTGAACTTCCGTACCCCTTCGCCCCCGTTGCCTCCTCTTTTTCCGCCTCCTCCGATTTCCTGTTCCCTTCCCTTATCCTCTTCCTCCTCTCCATCATCTGCTCCTTCCAAGCTTCCTCTTCTCCTCATCCTCCTTCCCTCCTCTTCCTCCTTCTCTTGATCTTCTTCTACGCCTCATGCCGCCTGCCACGAGGTGGCCAAAGGTAATTCGGCGGCCTTTCGAGGCCTACGACATTCAACAAGAGGCCGGCGACGACGACAACGACGACACGCATCGCGACGATACGAAGACGGCCACGACGACCACGAAGACGACGCACCGCGCCCGCTGGCCCCGACGGCGACGGCGTCGAGAACGACCACCACGACGCCGGCCTCCGAGAGAACCTCCAGGAACCCCTTATAGAAGCCATCCGAGGACCTCCGAGTGCCGCCGAGGGAACCTTCGATGGGGAGACCAAACGGTGTACCGATGCCACTACTCCCAGGACCTCTCCCGGGGTGCAATCTGACTAGAATTTCGGGGCGAATCCCGCGGTGGCAACGAAGGCCTCCGAGGAGGCCCCAACAGGGGAAAACGGGCGACAGGTAGCAGCATCGGTGCCTCTTCCTCATCTGATTCGACCGTCGAAGACGGCCGACACCCACCGAAGAAGAGGAGGAGGAGGAGGAGGAGGAGGAGGGGGGGGGGGAAGCTCTGGAGGGCATGGGGCCCCACGAGGGCTCCCGAGGGAGGCGGAGCCGCCGCGAGGCCCTGGAGACCGGCGGCGGCGGCGGCGGCGCGGCGTGACCCCCGGCGGCGCCTGGTAGGGCTGGATGTGCGGTGCTCCGGGGGGCGGGGCGGCCTGCGCCGGACACGCGCGGGGAGGGGGGCAGCGGTCTCGAGCTAGACGTCGCTGAGCATCGCTGAGCCGATGCCCGTCCCGACTGGCGTGACCTGGGCCACACTGGCCGAGTGCCCCCCCCCACCCGAGATGGTGATGTGGGCTGCCCTTCCTTCGGGCTTCTGATGG